CCGATCCCACCCAAGTATCGAGAGATCTGGTGAGGCATCCCTGGGCCAGGGTGTGTTGCGGCATTTGATGTCATCATGAATCATGATGTGTGTCTTTGTGGTCTTTGGCTTGCTTTTTTTTGTCACTTGTGCCATTGTCATGTATGTTTTCCCCATGTGTTTTGCAAACATGTTGTGTTTTGCTGTTGTGACGTAAGAAAGACGTAACCACCGTGTTGTACACTCTCTTGCTCACCTTACCACCGTGTGGACATGGAAGGGAACCACCTAGCCATGGTCTTTGCACTGGAAAATGGTCTTCCGGAAATGGTGGCCATTTCCCATCCACTTCCGAAAACGGATCCAGTCGTACCTTCTCAGTTGACGTTTTTTGGATCGAGACACTCCGGTCGGCTGCCAGGGTCGTCCGTGACCTCGGATTCGCTTTCCGTCCACGGGTGTCACCGTGTTTCGTCCGTGTCACCGTGTCACTCGGAGCGAGGTTCCCGGAGAAGCCCGGCTTCCAGACCGCAGGGCCCCCGCACAGGTCCCCGGTCTGTGTGGGTCGAGTGGTCGACCCTTGTGGTCCCTGTGGTTCTTTTTGGGCGGCCTTGTCGGACGTGTTGTATATTTGTGTATGTCATTGCTGTAATTGTTTCTTCGTTGTCGTTTTCTGTTTGGCGTTGTCATCGTGCGTGCCATCTCGCTTCTAGCTTGATGTTTGTGTGTGTGTGCTTATGTTTGGTGTTGTTGTCATTTTTTTGTCAGCGTTGTCATTGTGTGTTGTCTGGGTGTTTGTAATTGTTGAAAACCCTCTGATTCCATGTTCTACAAAGCCTTAGAATCTCCCATTCATGATTGGGCCAAGCTCGCCATAGAAGTAGCAAAGGATGTTGAGGAGATTCTGTTCGCACACCTCCTCAACATCAGCGCCACCACCAGCTTTGAAAAGATCCGTAACCGAGAGGATCACATCGCCGTAGCCGAGTAGCTGAGTGTGGACGGACTGATTTCTCGTCAGCTATGTAGGGGGGACACAAAGAGATCGACATGACTTGAAGAAATTTATGTGTTGCTTCACAAGTGCAGCTTCACGGTGAGGGGGAAACCCGCGCCCGAATTTGGGCCACGACCCAGCAGGTCCCATCTGTTCCTCTCCCGGCGCTATTCAGTCCGAGTGGTGCGGCAAAGTCTTCTCAGAGCCACTAGTCCAAAACGCAATCAAGTTGACAAGCCCTATAGGAATGGCTGTGGCTGGCGGTTTTCTCGTGGTTTCAGAAACAAGTTGTTTGACGAAGACAATTGTTTCGTGATGTTTCTGAATTTTTGAATATGTCATGATTATGGCATATACACAATATTGCATATACATATACACCTGCATACTTGGTGCATCCGTCTCCTAGTGTATAGGCTTTTTGAAGCAAATGAACCCTAGCGATAAAGGTTGACCTCCTGTTGTAGTTCAAGATTCTTGGTGAATTATGTTTGTTCGGTAAGAACCCTGGGGTGAAACATTTGGGTGGATCAGAGTGACACGCAAAGGGCATTGTGAAATTCAAAGCATATCTCCCAACAAATGATTGGTTGATATTGGTTGTTGGTTCCTACCTTTGCACAGGTTTTGGTCCTCCGTGTCGTTAAGTGAAGTAGGTTTCACGACTTGTGGGGATTTGATCAACAGTTTCAACACCTGTTCATCCACTGTTGATGAAGCAAAACCTTCAGGGCTTGCAACGAAACCCTTGTGTTTGCAGAGATTTCTGTATCACAGGTACTAGGTCCAGATTTCTTTTGCGACGTTCAGGTTCGTTTTTTCTAGGACAAAGTGGCGCCTGCAGAATTTTGCAGGCTAGCTACAGATTCTGTTGGAGACTTCCTTGTGAGTATAGCACAAGGACCCCATCTCAACAAAACATGCATTTGCTGCTGGGTTTCTGTGATGAACGTGCCCACCGTCGCGGACGGACCCGAGTCATTGCGTTTCTGTTTTGCACATCTTCCCTTTTCGGGGAGACTCGTTTTTTGGGCCAGTGCAGCACTCGGCGTTTGGGAGAATTTTCAGGGGGGGCCACAATTGAAAGCCTAATGCAGGCGAGGGAAGGGAAGTAAGTTCGGGATGGTCCTGTTTTGAACTTCTGGAGGCATGCGCAACCGCACATGGTACAGTTCGTTATGTCTGGCTGTGTTGTGTGTGTGTGTGTGCGAAATTTGGAAAAACCATTAAAAGCACATTGTCACAAATTTGACTTGATGTGTGATTTTGGTCCATCAAGATGGGTCTTCAAATTTAGAAGATTTTTTTACTCTCATCCTACAAATTCATTCCCATGTGCTTTGATATGATGTGTTTCCTTAACACATAGGGTTTTGTGGCTCTTGACTTTCCACTCTTGGTCAATCGGAGGCCGATGTTCTACACTGTTTGACAATCGCCGATGTGACCTGCGTTTTCATCGGTTGTTCTTGGTCCTTCTGACAGGAATACAAAGGGTGTGGTGTGTAACTATATTTTCATAGGGAGACACCCAGCCAATAGGCTTTGGTCAATTTGGAGGATCCAATTCCATCCTTCAGCAAGAATCTTTACATCAATTCAAGACACCACTGACGCACATATCTCATGAGAGACGTGCACTAGGGAATGGACATAACGACCTGATGACCTGATGGGTTTACTTGTCAACCAAAACAACCAGTCAGCAGTAAGGTCATTCCTCAAAGTCAAACAGCCTTCATATACTCGGACCATAATCACGTCATAGCTCGGGCTCCTCCCACAAGGAAGATACCGAGTTTAGGGTTTAAAAGTAACAAGAAGCTACTAGGTTGGAGGCCATCGCTACTAGTAACAAGAAACTACTAGGGGCTCCTGGCCTTACTACTAGGAACGAGAAGCTACTAGGAGCAAAGGGCATCGCTACTAGGAACAAGAAGCTACTAGGGGCTCCTGGCCTTACTACTAGGAACAAGAAGCTACTAGGAGCAAAGGGCATCGCTACTAGGAACAAGAAGCTACTAGTTCCGATGTGTCCCATCTACTTTCCGTCGCTTTCTGTCTCTCCGAGTGCCGCCGACCGTGGTCTTTCTTACGCCCGGCGTTTTGGCGCACTAGGCCAGTCGTCTAGGTCTAGCTCCACTCCTCGTGGATGAAAGGAGAACCCCAAAAAAGGGCGAAGGAAGACACTGAAGCCACGGACCGGTCATGTTTTTCTTTTTCTGGAAACTCAAATCAGATACAGATAAATGTGCTTTTGCATGTACTTGCGCACAGGGCAGATTCCACTCTGTTTCATTCAGGTGATTTTGTTTTTCTTCAGAAGATGGCTCATTTGCTCTAAGTTCACTCTCTCTCTATTTTCCTGATGAGCACAGCGGCAAACGCTCTTGACCTACGTCACTGCCCTCCTGGTTTGGTGTTGGAAAGACCTGAGGACGAAATCCAAGTTCGTGAACCAATTTGGCGGATCTTAAGGTGATTTGTTATGTTCCCGAACTGGTTAAATCCCCTGGCATGGGGATGTTTTTCCTTTTTTGCCCTGGTTCCTGGACAGCAAATACACGTGATTGAACAGCGGCTGAACCACCTGCTGCATTCGAACAGTTCCAGAGACCAACCAGACCCAACAGCCTTGGAAGGACCAACAAAAATATGGATGGACCGCATGTTTGTTTGATTACTCCCTTGCATGGAAAGTTGTAATAGGAAATTGGTCGAAACCAGGGGGTCTTTCTTCTCAGGTTCGGAATGGGATCGTTTGTGGGTTCGGCTTAAGCCTCGGGCCGTGTGGGGTTCCTCCTCTTCTAGCTAATACGATAGCTCTCGGCCGACGCAAGAGAGCGGCACATGAGACCAAAAGGCGCAGCCGCGGGGGGCGGCTCCGGCCATTGGTTCGATGGTGTTGCACATCGTTTGACATGCCGCAGACACCCGATTTGGTTCCTGAGAAAGTTGAATACTCAATTCCAAAGCATCTTTCAAGGTCTCTCACGGCCTCACGAATGTTTTGTTTGAAAGAAAGTAAACAGTTGTCAGTGACTGGATGCGGAAGCTCTAAATGCATGTTCTGCACAAAAAAAACAAGTGCAATTACACTCGAGAACATGATGCATGTTTTACACAAACATGTTGATCCCGCACAGGGGTCAATGTTTTGGCATATTATGCATCCCATGCATGGGATGGCTACCCTACACAACTTGTGCTTCTTGGTCAGTTTTGCAGGATGGTCCAGACATGTTTGTTATTTTGTTTGCGTGCTTCTTTCAATGTTGGAGACGCGTGGTTGTTCGCTCGTTTTTTTGGTGACTGTATTGCGCTTGGGCATTGGCTCAGCCCGCACGGGCCAAGCTGTTCTCCCCATGCCTTCCGTTTGTAAGTTCGGTAAAGACTATGGAGATGGTGGTTGGAAGGCTGGGGAGGTTATTGTAGTTGACACATGGATGAGGACGGGACAGAATCAGATCAACATGCGTAAAAAAAGGAACACAGCAACATCACCTAGCCAGAAGTAAGATGTTTCAAGATAACCTAGCCATATGTAGTTAGAGTAATCATGTGTTCCATCATGTTCCATCGTTCCGTATCATCGTGGAGCATGGCTTGGTGGAGCCTGGTGGGGCGGCATCCCAGTTAAAGCAAACTGTTATGTTGTTTGTGGGGGAAGCAACATCCCTCGATATGGGCTTCTGTCAAACATTCTCCTCGAAAACATGGAGGAAGTGGGAATTAGAACCCTGGCTCCATCCTGGATTTGTACAGTACACTGGCTGCTGGCTGATGTGTGATCCAGGATGAGAGTCATTCAATGTCATTCATGACAATAGCTCATGTCGCCATTTTTCATTTGAAGTCTCCGACTCTCCGACTCTCCAGTTCACGTCACCAGACTTCACCACTGCCTCATTAGAGTCGACATCCAGCCGCAGTTTCAAAACGACGCTCCGCTCCCAGACCCCACTAGGCTGCAGCCTAGATCGCTTCCCAATGGGCGCGCGCTCCTTCGCCCGGCCTTGGATCCATGCCTTCCGCGCCTTGGACGGAGATTCGAAGCTTCCGCCGTGCGCTTCCTCCCGCGCCGTCGAGGGACGGAGGTTTTCCTTCCATTGACCACCCCATGGCCTCACCAGCCCTGGCTGTCCGACGGCTGTCCCATTATTGGTCGCGTCCGCGTCCAAGGTCGTCTTCCGAACTCGGCCGCCATGCCATGGATCCATAACCACACGGGAACGGGGAAGAACGGAGACGGAGGTCCAGAGGCTAGACACTCCTGGTATTTGATGTGATTTGTCCATCAATATTGGAGTGGTTGTAAAAGGGGTCAATAGGTGTCGATAGGGTGTAGCCTATTACCCTATATATACTAACCATCATCCACTGCTAATGGGATATACCGTATGATATACCCAATTGTCAATATGCAAATATACCGAGACCCTCATGGAGTGTTCGGGAAATGGACGGAGTTCCTGAACTTTTGGAGAAACACAGCCTTTTCAAATGTGTGTTCGGTGGGTTCCTTTTTGGAAAACCTACAAACGATCCAGGCAAAGCACTGGAAAACTTAGACTCACCGTTTGAGTCTTTGGGCTTCCACAGGCATCATCCCATTTGGTTTATTGATGTTTATACTATGCAGTGAATCCAGGCAAACCCCTATGTTAACCAGTGGTTCCAGTAAAGGACTAGGGACGTCGTCAATTTTCAGGGCGGCTGGGCGGAAGATGCTGGAAGCAGTCGGACAAACGCTCCATCCACGAAAGCTGGGAGGTGGACCACCTGAAACAACGTGGATGGAGGGCACCCGGTACAGGTGCCCTCCGCAGTACAGGTGTTCTCCACAGGAAACGTGCAGAATTCCTGCTGAGCCACAGAGTTCAGACGAAGAATGGTGGAGTTCAAGAATTCATTGCAACAGTTCGAACAGATGTGTTCTTTTTCCCCATCCAGTGACCAGTGAGTGGATTAATCTGGGTACTCCATGGTACTCCAAGTTGGGCATCCCAACGTGAAACTGCTGGTTGGAAACTGCTGGTTGCAGTTTCATTGTGTGTTTCAAGGGAACTGAAATCATCCGTTTTCTACATCAGCCGGTGAAGAGAAGAGTTCAAGAAGATTCCTTCTTGTTTCCATGGAGTTTCAATCGGGCAGGCATACAACCACTTCAATGTGGAGTTCATGGTGGCTCTCTCTCTCTCTGTCTCTAGAAGCTTCAAGATTAAAACCGTGATCCCTGCTCACAGGATGCAACTCTGATTTCAGGAACTCATGAAACAACTACTTCATTGCTCTTCATTGGGGGTGTGGGGGCTTCCATCATAATTCATTTCCATGGAAGAAATACACTAAATCTATAGGTTGGGTTTGTCCTATAACCTGTAACATTCTGAGAGAAAGACCTTTCCTAGCCATACAATATCATACAATCATCTTTTCATCCCTGGGGCCCTGGTCATGGGATAGACTCGACCCCAATGGGGTTTGGCCACATACCACCGCGCCAACGGCCCCGTCATCGGTCCATTGGCGTGGTGGAGCGGTCCGGACCGGTGCGACCAGGGCCCTTTGAGCTGGAAGCGGCTTGGTGGACGTGGGGAGCCCGGTTTCATCGAGGCGTCGGGTCAGGTCCGCGACGGACGCGTCGAACGAGCGGATATCGGGTCGCGAGCGGAACGGAGGGACGAACGGGCGCGACGAATGGGGCGACCCTGGCCGTATACTACTAGAAACAAGGACGAAACGAACGGAGTTCACCAGACAACTTGGGTTTTCCCAGACAGAGTGAAAACGCGACCAAGGGGATTGCCACAGGACTGCCGAGAAACGGCCAGGGGTGGGCCATGGGGGGGGTCAATTGATCGGCATATCTTCCAGTCCCATGGAGTGTATGGGATATAGCAGGGAACACTCTTGATATTCAGGGGAAATGGATGAACATTTTGCAACAGCTACTTAGCAGGAGCAGCCCGATTTTCAGAGCAGCCACTTCGAGTGTTCCGGATGCAGTTCAATCATTTGTGTTCATGCCACGTTGAGGAGCATGTTGCCATGGTCGTGAGTTTTGTGGTTTTCGATTTTGCTTGTGGGTCCTCGGGTGTGGGATCGTTACTGTTACTTTGTGTTAGGGAGTTCGCGTCGGGGTGTCGCCAGGGTCTCCAGTTGGCATCCAAAAGTGCTCAGCGCACACACACACACAAGTGATTAAATTGTTGTAGCTGTGTCTTTGTGATTGTGTCTTTGTGGCTGTGTGTTTGTGGTTCTGTGTTTGTGGTTGTGCGTCGAAGGTTGTGTTTGTGTTTGTGTGTTTGTGGTTGTGGTTGTGTTTGTGGTTGTTTGTGATTGTGTTCGTGGTTTGTTTGTTTGTTTGATGTTTGTTTGTTTGTTTGTTTGTTTGTGGTGCTTTGTGTTTGTGTATTGTGGTTGTGCTTTGTTGGTTGTGTGTTGTGTCTTGTGTGTGTTGCGGTCATGTGTTGTGTGTTGAGGTCCGGTAGTGCCCACTGCAACCTGGTACTTGCCGGTAGTGCCCACTCCGATCTGGCACTTGCAGTCGTTGTGGCGAGGAGGCGGAGGAGGAGGAGCAGGAAGGAAGGAAGGAAGGAAGGAAGGAAGGAAGGAAGGAAGGAAGCCAGGAAGCCAGGAAGCCAGGAAGCGAGGAAGCGGACTCGTGACGTTCCCATCGGAGAAAGAGAGATCGTGCCGACATCCTGCTCCTACAAGATCTCATAAGAGTTCCTTCACTACTATTATGACAAAAAAGCTTTTGCAATCTCTAATAGAGCCCACCTGCTCGGCGGCGTTCTGAGCGGCGGTCAACCAAACGCTCTGTGAAGGAAGAGAAGTCTTCATCAGAGGATGAGGACCAGGAGGAACAGCAAAAGCGGCGAAAAGCAAAGAAGCGCAGCACACAAGCCTTTGGGAAAGGGCGGCCCTGGCCCAGATCCAGGGAGTGGCTTCGGAGGCTTTTGGCGGCTCCTTTGTGATAAGCCTTCTGATCCTCATCGGGCAAACGCTCCAGCAGGAGCGCGCCCAGAAATGAGGAATGGAGGCCTTGCCCTGAAAGACTGAGGCAGTGGTAGCTCAGTCAGCCTAAAAGGGCCAACATGACGGCGCAGTCAGTATGAGAAAAACGTGCAAATTGGGAGTTGGAGAGTTGGGCTGGGTTGGGTTGCGTTTGTCTTGCGACGATGTCATTGTCGTGATGTAACTGCAATTACTGCACTGTAACAGTGACAATGACATCGTCATGGTCTCAACGACACATGTAGCAAACGGAACGACGACAAGTCACTTAACTCTTTTTTTGCTCGGGTAGCTAAAATGAAAAAACAGACCAGAGAGCAACCAAGCAACGGTTAAACGTCGCCAAGCTATTGTTTTCAAACTATTTTTTAAGAAAAATAGGAAGCAACTAGGACCGCATAATAGGAATAAAATAGGACTGAAAACAAGAACAAACATGAAATAGGAACAATGGGATTGAATGTCCAGATTTCCTGGAAGGCTGGTGGCTCATTCCGACCAAAGGCATGATCAGACACGTGTGAATGAAACTACTAGCAATGCTGGAGACTACTAGGAATCGATGATTTCAAAAAAGAAAATGAAAGGAGTTGAGCATTTCTTAAAGGAAATGAAAGAATTATATAATCATCTTTAAAAAGACACATGAACGGAATTGATCATTTTTAACAGGAAATAGAAGAACTTGATCGAATTTAAAAGGAAAATGAGAGGAATTAACCAATTTAAAGGATACTCCAGTACTGATCCCCAGTACTCCAGTACTGATCCCCAAGGTACTGATCCCTCCGGGAATTTAATGGCTTAAACGCTTTAAATACTCAGCCTATTGAAAACTGCGTAACACATTAAAAATATTGAATTGATTCCTGGATTTGGCAATTCCATTGGGAATTCAATATTTACAATTCTAATTCTAAACTAAATCATACAAATCTATCAAAGATCACCAAAATCATATTATACGTGCTATTCCCTCTGTGTTTAGACTTTGGACTGAGCAGACTAAGTGCGTTCCGGCCGCCAGTCTGTCTTCTCAGGATGAATGGATCACCACGGCACCATGAACCAGCATCATATGACTCCACCGTCAATGACCACATCCTCTCCTGGAACCTGGACCCACAGCAACAGGATGCTCAGCCACAGCCATCGCAGCCATCCAAGCCAGATCAGAATGACAATGAGAAGGACACGGGTGCAGAGGACAAGGGCGCAAAGGACAAGGGTGCAGAGGACGCAAACAAGGACTTGCAGCAGGACAAGGACTTGGACCCCCACTACTCCGCACTGATCCCAGTACTACAGTACTGACCCCCAGCACTCCAGCACTCATCCCCAGTGCTCCAGTATTGATCCCCAGTAGTCCAGTACTGATCCCCAGTAGTCCTATTTTTCCTTTTTTGAAAAATAGACACGGTTTTTACTATTTTTAATTTTTTGAACTGTTTTACGTTTTTAGATTTTCAGCTTTTTGTATTTTTCATTGTTTAAAATAGGAAAAGCAGTACGTTCATAGGAAAATAGGAATTGAACATAGTAACAACTAGGACAACAATATGTCCATGTTTAAAAATAGAAGAAGAGGTGGAAAACTATGAAAAAATAGGGCTTCTGGGGATCAGTACTGGAGTACTGGGGGATCAGTACTGGAGTACTTGGGGACCAGTAGTTGGGGATTGGAGTCTGGACTAGTCGGGACCAGTGTGCTGGAGTGGTGGGATCAGTAGTGAGTGGAGTACTGGGGATCCGTACTCGGGGATTCAGTACTGGAGTACTGGGGATCAGTAGTACCGGTAGAGCATTAAAGTCAAATTTTTTTGGGTGTAAAACCTGTGACAATGTTCCTTTTGTTCTTTTGTCGTTGCCTTCCATTTCTGGCACCCTTGCTCATTCTATATTCGATTCTGTCCTGGATTCCCGGCCTTCATTTTTTCTGTTTTCTTGAAGCCTCTTTTCAAGTCCTTTGCTCTTCGTATCCTTTTCACCTTCTGTTCCTAGAGCAGTGTCGTTCTTTTCATTTTTTCCTCTATTCCTTTCCTATTTCAAATTCCAGCTCTATTTTTCAAATTTTGGTTCCAATGTTCCTATTTATTTTCCTATTTTCCTAAAATAACTTTTTAAGGATTTAATAGACATTGCAGGCAGCTTTTTGTCGTAACGCTTCTCCCTGCAGAATTTTAATATATGTCAACCATGTGCCGTGATTTGAATGTCCATGTGTGTGCAAATCCGAGAGTGCCCACAGGACGCGCCATATCTGGCGGCCCCTGCTGCAATATTGGAGTCTGTTGACACCATAGCGCAGCCCGACATTGGACGCGCACACAGGCTCTACGGCTATGTCAATGCAATACAGGACCGCGTGGCAGAGGCAGTGGAAGGCGTGACTGAAGCTTTAGCTTGCGCTGCAAAGCTGGCCTCCTCTGGGACAGCTGTGTTGGTGCGCCTCTGGGGCGGTGTCTTTGCCGCTCTCGTGCGCAGGTACATGCCCGCGCAGATTTGCGAGTGTGGGCTGCAGACGCGCAGGAAAGCCTTGACTTTGAAGTGCTGCCCATTCTGAAAGGCCAGCGCTATGTGAAGGCGAGCGGTGTCTGTCCAATTCAATCCGGCAAACGTGCTTCTTTTTGCAAGTCGACACTGACTGGGTGCGAGTCCTCCCGAGGCAGAGCCGGGCAGCCCACCCCCAGCCATGAGGGGAAACTTGGAAGCTTGCAAGTATTGTTCAGGCCTTTGGCACGTCAGATCCACCATGCGCAATGCAGAGCAAAGGCCAAGAATCTCCAGTCGTCATCTTCCTGTTGCTTCCGCGAAGTGTTTGACAAGCATGGCCGGATGCAGTTCA